GTTTTTTATTCTAGGGAAACAATACTCTTCTCCAGACTGAGGGACTGACCACCTCAAAACTTTAAGGGTGATGGACTGATTACATCGTCTTCAAGTATCTTCTGCTTCTATCAACTTTTCTGTACTCGACTGAAGAAGCCTACTGTGTAGGCGAAACGTTCGAAATAAAGATACCTAACTGTTGCATATGTGTCTTACCTAACAACCTGTCGGTATTTTATACCATTTTAATGTTCTCTGCTTTCTATTGGTAAGCCATGCCTCAATCCATGCTAGAACTTTACCTCCTATACCATGAGCTGCCACTTTTCTTAAAGAGTCTCTGTGAGGTACTCTGTCGAAGGCTTTACTAAAATCCAAATAAACAATATCATATTCCTTATCACTGTCAACTGCCTCAAATGTTCTATTGAAGAACGTCAGTAAGTTTGTCAGGCAGGAACGACCTCTCGTGAATCCATGCTGAGATTCATTTATCAAGTTATGCTCTTCAAGGTGACTTCTGATAACGTCAGCTATAATTGATTCTAATAATTTGCCCACTATAGATGTCAGGCTTATTGGACGGTAATTTGAAGGAGTGGACTTATCCCCTGATTTGAATATAGGAACCACATTAGCCATCTTCCACAACAGACCTTATTTCTTGGGGAGCATTGAAAATTGGGTTGGGCAAATTTTTTGTTAGTGGGATGGATTGTAAAGGACCTGCCTAGTATGGGCCAACAGGCCTGCTGCAGTGTTCCTCCTTTCTTATGTTCTTATGTTCTTATGAATTAAGTCGTTTTTAGGTAAAATTTCGTTTATTTTCAGAAATATATGTGGGGTCATACAGCACCAAAAAGAAAAACAAATTTATGAAAGAAGTTTCAACGGAAACCGGACGGAGGAGTAATGATGGAGGTAGTGAATTCGGGATGATGCTGTGAGGATGGGGAGTGACTCTGACGTGAAGGAGAGCTCTGAGGTGGGGCCAGGTTCTGAGGCTGGGTAGTAGGAGGGGCGGCGGCAGTGGTGGATGGTACTGCATATGATGAACAAGTGCAGCGTGGGGAAAAATCAGCGAATTCCGGCGGGGGCGTCACAATGTCGTGAACAGAAGTATAGTCAGACTGAGCTTCAGTCTGCACCTGCTTGGGACAGCTGCACGGTTCTTGGTCTTGCAGTTCTCCCACACTGCTTAGCGAACTGCCATACAGCACCCACAGGAGTACCAAAGCTACAGCTAGACTTACTCCAATCCCACAGAACATAGCTTTTGTTTGCGTGGTGGTGGCAGTTCGACGTTGCTGATTCAGCATCTTCACCGCGGTCAGTAAATATTTACCCCACTGATGAAAGTCGGTTAAGTTGGTGGTGGTGTTCAGGGGGAGATCCATCTTAGTGGTGGCAGAGAACTCAGCGTTGTTGATGATGGGTTCTGATGGGTCGGTCATCGCATGGTTGTCGTAAGACAGAGTCGTCCTTCTGGTGTTGGCGTTCGGTGTAGCAACGGTCCTGGTGGTAAGGTGTGGTACGTGGATTATCTTCTTGAAAGTGTTGGACCAATTTTGTTGGTCGTCACGTATCCTCACATCCACCTCCACTAAGTCCTCCCTAGGGCCACCACCTCCTCCTCCACCAGCACGGCCTCCACGGTCTTGGTCAGCCTCCTCAACACTCCCTAGTATCGCCAAAAAGAATAAAAAATATAAATTGTGTAACATAATTAAATTATTATGTTTATATTGTACACAGTGTGTTGTACCATAATATGGTATGTTAAAATTTTCAGTTTAGACATGCTCTGGAAAAAACACCATAATGAATTTAGCGTTCCGTAAAGATAACAATAATGATAATTATAATAATAGTACAATTATTTAACATCACCATAAACAGCTTTTAAGATCTCCAGCTAGAATTAGTTATCATAGCAGCTGGGAAGGGCAATGGACAGGATATAGACCATGAGTGGTGTCTTTCTCTCATCGTGTATATTTCCTGAGAGATTATATATATATATTATATATATATATATATATATATTATATATATATATATATATATATATATATATATATATATATATATATATATATATATATATATATATTATAAATATATATATAATATATATATATATATTCAGTACGTTTTGAGCAGTAAGTAAATGTTGGATACATTGTCTGTGTCTGGATACAATATACCTACAATGGATCATATCTGATTAAATGACATTACTCAAACGCTGTATGATAAAAAAAGAGTTTAGTGCTCGAAGGAAAGATGTGATAAGAAATCCACATTTTAGCTCAGACAAGAGATCATTGATATGTAGGTGTGACATCCTCTCTTCCCAGTGATGTGCACAAGGCAACATAGTCCAACTATCGTATGGTGAGCAGCGCACACCTATATAATGCCAGGCACTCCAGGCACTTGTTTAATGTACCAAATCAGGGATCTCCCTGTTATTGCCTCTCTAATGTGTTAAAAAATAGCTAATGACTTTCTATATTTTTTGACCCTGGAGAGAAATTACTCATCGCAATAGTCTCAAACTACAAGAAATGTTCCACTGACAGCATGAATGAGTGAAATTATCCCTGGCTGGTATTGTTATATTCTTGGGGAGGCGTTAATAATTTTATTCTAAAAGTTTTTTTTTTTTTTTCTATACGACATTATTAAAATATGATGTAACTTCCCTAGAGCTGGAGATGAGCGTCCAAGATGCCGAAGGCTAACATTCTACTTCCTTTACCACACTTACTAAGTAAAATATTTCTGTATTTATTGTCCATGAAAGCAGTCAAAATTAATGTGAAAGTTAAAAGTTTAAAGGACTCCAATGGAAATAAATCACTCTGTCTGACTTTTTTGGGTTATCCCAGGTTCTCTACACATATGCTGCTATGTACGATAATTATATGTAACTGTATTTGTGTATACCTGAATAAACTTACTTACTTAAACTTGATAATCTCGATCATTTTAGGATCGTGGTTTCCAAGAGCGATATGGTAGCCTCTGGTAACACTGTACAAATGTACAAGAAATAGAACATAAAGTCACTTCTTTCACTCAAGTAATTATTAACTCTACACGTCAACCTTAAATTAATTATTGTTAAAACATTACTTGATTAAATAATATTACTATAGTTATTGTGAATTTATTATTATTATTATTATTATTATTATTATTATTATTATTATTATTATTATTATTATAATTATTATTATTATTATAATTATTATTTTTATTATTATTATTATTATTATTATTATTATTATTATTATTATTATTATTATTATAATTATTATTATTATTATTATTATTATATTATTATTATTATTATTATTATTATTATTATTATTATTATTATTATTATTATTATTATTATTACAAACTAATTTTAAAGTTTTATAAATAAAGAGTGAACATTGTCGTTACGAGTATTCTTGAAGTCTAAACTGTTCCTCAGATATAAATTGTTGTGTTACTTGTCAATAAATCATTTATATTGTATATATCTTTATCAAGTGAAGGAATCATACCCCAAAGATCGAAAAATTATCATTATTCTTAATGTTAATAAATTCGTGGATAAGCGCAAAACCCGTACGGAAAATATGAGGTAATCAGATTTGTTATAAGGAAACGAATAATATTTTTTGCAGGGTATTAATTAAACCGTACAATATACCCATTGGTACCCAGGTTCAAATTTTACCCAATTTCTAATACATTTAGCTCTCGATTTCTCGAAAATATTCTTAACTGACTTTAATCAAGGAGCAACTCTAAACCAGTACGGGTCATCTGGGGAATGGGAAGCACTGAGGTTCAATGCATGAAATAGAGGGATAACTCCAGTTCCTTGGAGCAAGAGCCCCTCAACGGCTTCTAGGCGCCTCCATCGAGTGTTTCCCTTGTTGGAAAAAAATAATATCACTCCAGTCGTTGAAAATGATATTCAATTTATTAACTGAAAATCTGCATTGTTTCTTCTTATTAATATCTTCTAAATGCCCATTTTTATTATAAAAGATCATATTTCATCTAAAAATGTTAATAAAGCAATTTGTTTTGCAAATTCAGAGTGTGAGATATTGTCATTTTTTTTTACATTTTTTTATTACTTTTTACCTTTATTCCTTATTTGCACTGATCATCCACAACTGTCATGAAGTAAAAAATGTGACAATAAAATAGAAAAAGTACATTTTAAATATTTTATTCCAATAAAAGTGAGGAGTGAGGAAGATGGTCCTGGACCTGGTCCTGGTGAGGAAGATGGTCCTGGACCTGGTCCTGGTGAGGAAGATGGTCCTGGACCTGGTCCTGGTGAGGAAGATGTCCTGGACCTTGTCCTGGTGAGGAAGATGGTCCTGGACCTGGTCCTGGTGAGGAAGATGTCCTGGACCTGGTCCTGGTGAGGAAGATGGTCCCTGGACCTGGTCCTGGTGAGGAAGATGGTCCTGGACCTGGTCCTGGTGAGGAAGATGGTCCTGGACCTTGGGCCGGTGAGGAAGATGGTCCTGGACCTGGTCCTGGTGAGGAAGATGGTCCTGGACCTGGTCCTGGTGAGGAAGATGGTCCTGGACCTGGTCCTGGTGAGGAAGATGGTCCTGGACCTGGTCCTGGTGAGGAAGATGGTCCTGGACCTGGTACTGACGAGGTGACGTCCTACTTCCCGAAACCACCTGAAAGAGTGAAATACGTGTAGTCACATTATAATCTACGTTCTTGTTCATGTTACTTGTAAAACCTTTGTGTACTTCATGTTACTTATAAAACATTTATGCACTTCATGTTACTTATAATACATTTTTATGTTCTTCATGAACTTATAAAACATTTATGTTCATGTTACTTATAAAACCCTTATGCTCCTGTTCATGTTACTTATAAAACATTTTAGAAGATATGTAAGACACAAAGCAAGATGGGTAAATCCACTCTACCCACCGAAGCCAAGTCCACCTAACCACCTTTGCCAAATCCGCCGAAACCATTTCCAAATCCACCGTATCCACCTCCCTTGCCAAATCCAAGTTTTCCTCCGTGGCCAAATCCCCCAGCGCTTCCTGTAAGCATATAAATTATCCATAACATCTAATGGTAACATGTCCGTATATAAAATAAATGATCACGATATTGTTGCAGTCGTTTTTACATGAATCAAAAGGAACTTGTATTGGCTTACCATAACTCTTGCTCAGCACGAAAGTGTGTCCTCCCTGACCACCTAGGGTAGAATGATGAGAAAATTACTATCTTGTTCATTCATGCTTCAGAAACACTATAGTAATATATATCATAAATCTGAATACATTGACCCGAGACTTTATGCTTACCATATCCGCCACCAAATCCTCCACCAAGGCCGCCATAGCCACCTAAACCTTTCAAGCCCCCGCCGTATCCACCAAGTCCACCAAGACCCAAACCAAGTGGCAGAAAACCACCACCAAGTAGTCCAGCGTAGCAAACACCAGCCATCACCACCAACACCAACATCACTGACAGAGAACGCTGAAAACAGAATGTGTTCTCAGTGTTACAAAATATCACAGTGTATTCTTGTGGCAACTATTGCAAAACTTCTCACTAAGTATATCCTCGTACCATGTCTGTAGTAGTCGAGTGCATGAGGAGCTGGAGACTGATGGTGAGGGTGTGTGTTCAGGACTTTATATAGGACAAGTGATTCCTCACACTCACCGTAACCTTCAGGACTTGGACGTCGTAGGTGCAGCCATGACTTTGGTTTGAGCCAGTAAAGAATGTAGTACATAGGATGTGGAAGGAATTTGAAAATTTTATGAATACTAATGGCGCGTGAAAGCCAACATTCAAGAATCATCATATTGTTGGCACCTGCCAATTGAGATCTATCATCATGGGATCCTTGTTACGAAGTTGTTTAGAGATTTTCATGAAGTTGTTACGAGGTTGTTATGAGGTTATTATGAAGTTGTTACAAGGTTGTTACAAGGTTATTACGAGGTTTCATCTAGAGGGAAAAACCGGGTAGTAATAAATTGTCTATTTCTGCTATACGTGACGTTTTCCACCAATTACCTGCTTCCAGCAGTACTAACATGCTTGTTTTCTTGTCCTCTCGAGAGTTAAAAAAAATTATTTCGAGATAGTATGAACTACGTTTGTTTATTAAAAATATTAAATGATTTCTATGCTGCTATGCTTCATACAATAATTCATTTTTTTTTATATTTAGCAATAAACGGACATGTTTACATATATGTCAGAAAATATTCTATGACGTAAAAGTATGACTCATTATTTTTTAGTAAGAAAGAAAACCTTCAACACTCGTAGTAGTGTCAAGAAGAATATAAATTAAAAGTTGTGTAACATAAGTAAAATTATTATATGTTTACACCACACACAGTGTCGATGAACCATAATACATCCAACCTTTCAGTTCAGTCATGCTCTGAAAAAATCATCATAATGAACTTAGCCTTCCATAAAGATAATAATTATAATTACAATAATTTAAAATTATTTAACACTATCACAAACACAGAATGGGTATAAATACACTGGAAAATTGTACAGAGGAGGATGACAAAGTTGATCCCATGTATCAGAAATCTTCCCTGCGTGGAAAGACTGAGGGCCCTGAATCTGCACTCTCTAGAAAGGCGTAGAATTAGGGGGGATATGATCGAGGTGTATAAATGGATAACAGGAATAAATAAAGGGGATGTAAATAGCGTGCTGAAAATATCCAGCCAAGACAGGACTCGCAGCAATGGCTTCAGGTTGGAAAAGTTCAGATTCAGGAAGGATATAGGAAAGCACTGGTTTGGTAATAGAGTTGTGGATGAGTGGAACAAACTCCCGAGTACCGTCATAGACGCTAAGACGTTGTGTAGTTTTAAAAATAGGTTGGATAAATACATGAGTGGGTGTGGGTGGGTGTGAGTTGGACCTGACTAGCTTGGGCTACCAGGTCTGGTGCCGTGCTCCTTCCTTAAGTGGAAGTGACCTGACTAGATGGTCATTGTTCTAGGCCGGGAGGGGGGGGGGGGGGTGGCATTTACCTGCTTCGCATGGGTCAGTAGGTCTGTTGCACAGTTTCTTCTTTCTTATGTTCTTATGTCCGTTTGTATATATATATATAATATTATATATATATATATATATATATATATATATATATATATATATATATATATATATAATATATATATATATATTATATATATATATATATATATATATACGTCGTGCCGAATATGTAAAACTGGTCAATTAGTAAGAACTCATTTAAAATTAAGTCCTTTCTAAAATTTTCTCTTATACGTTTAAAGATATATTTTTTTTCATTAATGATATTGTAAAAAATTTTAATTTTGCTCCAAAAGAATCTTAGAAAACTTACCTAACCTTATTATAACAACAACAATTTATTTTAGCCTAACCTAACTAAATATATTTTAGATTTGTTTACAATAATTTAATACTAAACAAACACAGTGAAATATATTTTTTTCGTTAGGTTCAGAATGATTTTGGCGAAATTATTGCATACACAAATTTTTACTTGTCCTATATGGCAAGATTTAGCGTTGCTATTTAAGCCAAGATCGCAAGTTCTGCCTATTCGGCACGACATATATATATATATATTTAATATATATATATATATATTTTATATATATATGCAAGGAATTCGCCCAGAGAATGCGAATTACACAAACACTGATCTCTGGCTGAAGGAGACTCGAACTACGAACCTTAGGACAAGGTACGCAGTTTCTTTACAAATCTACCACACCTGGACCAATACCTTGGCGTGTAGCATAGCTACACGTTTGATCCAAGGCAGCCAGCTTAGGGAGAAGGCTTACAGCTTTTCCTCTCATCCCCTGCATGCATCAGCCATACAAGAGATTTGAACAATGCAAGGAATTCGCGAGAGCATGCGAAATATACACAAACACTGATCTCTGGTGAAGGAGACTCGAACCTACGAACCTTAGGACAAGGTACGCAGTGCTTTACCAATCTACCCACACTGGACCAAATCCTTGGCGTGTAGCATGAGCTACACGTTTGTCCAAGGCAGCCAGCTTTCAGGGAGAAGGTTACAGCTTTTCATCTCATCCCCTGCATGCATCAGCCATACTAGAGATTTGAACAATGCAAGGAAATTTGCGAGAGCATGCGAATATAATATATATATATATTATATATATATATATTTATATATATATATTATATATATATATATATATATATATAATATATTATATATATATTTTATATATATATTATATATTATATATTTATAATTTATATATCCTACTCACCAGGTGCCTGTCAATCCCAAAACTTACCTACTTTCTGAGATGCTCCCCAGCCTTCGGTAGTCCAAAGCTCAAGGAATATGACTCTTTCCTTAAGACCATGCTAGAGAGTGTATTGAATCTTTCCCCTGAAGATGGACAGTGGTTGCAAGCCTCACTTCCGGTCAGGCTTGGAGGGCTAGGAGTACGCAGATCCTCCCAGATTGCTCTAACAGCTTTCCTATCCTCTTCCATAGCATCATATGAGTTGACAAGACAAATTCTTCCTGATAACCTCAGTGACTCAGCAGGAATGCAGGACCCTAGCTATGCCAGTGCCATCACCGAATGGGAGACTCTTGCTGCTCTAGCACCAAACCCTAGTGCAGCACTGGCTCACAGTCAAGCTGGGATGGCCCGATCGCTCAAAAGGTGCTTGCCAACATGCTCAGGGCTGTAACATCAGATAGGGAGACTACCCATCTCCAGACTGTGAGCGCACCTCACTCCGGAGACTTCTTCCAAACAGTTCCCATATCGGCAATGGGAACGCGACTCGACCCTAAGACCCTGCGGATTGCAGTGGCTCTGCACCTTGCTGCCCCAATTCACACAGAATATACGTGCAGCAAAGCGCAAGCAGGCCAATACGGTCTACATGGTCTTAACTGTTCCAAAACCAAGGGCTGCCATGCAAGACACAATGAGGTCAACGACATCATAAAGAGAACCCTTGCTACAGCTGGACGCCCAGCCGAGAGGGAGCCCCAATCACTAGCAGCCAATAATACCCACAACCCAGCAAAATGCCCCGACGGGATCGCCATCTATCCTTGGAAGAATGGCAAGCTCTTAGCATGGGACTATACCTGTGTGTCCACACTGGCTGATACCTGTATCCATCAGTGTCGGGCGACAGGGAGGAGCTGCTGACCACAGGGAGGAGTACAAGATCAGCAAGTACAGGGACATAAGCCAACAGTATCAATTTGTCCCAGTGGGATCAGAGACCTTGGGACCATGGGGAAAAAATACCACACGTTTCCTTAAAGATCTGTGTTCTAGTCTCATCGACACCACCAGGGACCCAAGGGCAGCCACTTTCATGTTCAAGCGCCTCAGCATGGCCATCCAGAGGGGAAATGCTTGCTGCATACTTGGCTCACGTCCAGCTTCGGAGGAGCTGGAGGAAATTCATGATCTTTAATACATTGTACCATTGTATTCATGTTAGTGTTTTCTGTAAATGTATTCTGTTTATTAATAAATGTTCACATAGAAATATATAAATATATATATATATATATTTTATATATATATTATAATATATTATATATATATAATTATATATATATATTATATATACATACATATATATTTTATATTAATATTATTATTATATATATATATATTATATATTTTATATATATATATATATATTGTCGTGCAAAATAGGCAGAACTTGCGATCTTGGCTTAAATAGCAACGTTCATCTTGCCATTTTTAGGACAAGCGAAAATTTGTGTATGCAAAAAATTTCGCCAAAATCATTCTGAACCTAACGAAAAAAATATATTTCACTGTGTTTGTTAAGTATTAAAAATTATTGTAAACAAATCTAAAATATATATAGTTAGATTAGGCTAAAAAAAATTGTTCTTGTTATAATAAGGTTAGGTAAGTTTTCTAAAATTTTTTCTGGTGCAAAATTAATTTTTTTTACATTAACGTTAATGAAAAAAAATTATCTTTAAAAAGTTTTAAGAATTTTTTTTAGAAAGGACTTAATTTTAAATGAGTTCTTGCTAATTGACCAGTTTTACTATTCGGCACGACATATATATATATATATATATATATATATATAAAAATATATTATATATATATATATATATATATTATATATATAATATATATTATATATATATTATATATATATATAATATATTATATTTATATATAATATAATATATTATATATATATATATATAAAATATATATATATATATATAACTGTTGTATTCTGAGCACCTCTGCAAAGCAGTGATAATGTGTGAGTGTGGTTTAAAGTGTTGAATGATGATGAAAGTATTTTTTTTTTGGGGATTTTTTTCTTTTTTGGGTCACCCTGCCTCGGTGGGAGACGACAACTTGTTGAAAAAAAATATATATATATATATATATATATTATATATATATATATATAATATATATATATGTATATATATTATTATATATATATATATATATTAATATATATATATATATATATATTAATTTATATATATATATATATATATATTTATATAATAATATATTTTATATAGTAAAATAAGTAAGTAAAGTAATTTATTTCAGGTATACACAATACAGTTACATAGAATTATCATACA